GCAAAACTATCATACTCGTTAGCATTAACGGGTGTTCTAAACCTAATCATCATACTGAGTAGATTAGGGCAATCAATCTTATCCTGAGCAAGACTGAGCAGGAAAGCTAGGTCTGAAATATTACGCCTAATGATATATAAGAGTGATTAAGGTTACCTAAAGAAAACGTTTATCATTTTTCATGTCCAAAAGTAGGATCACGCTAATGAGAAGTAAAGAAGAGTTCTGTAACGCATAGGTTTTATTATGTACTTACCTCCTCCAAACTTATGATATAATTAGTAAAATCATGCAAATATTTGACTTTATAAAACTTTAGAACTGCACTTCTCAGTTCTTTTGCCATTTCGTCGTTCATAATATAGACGAGGTCTAGGAAAGTTTCTATGGTTCTGAGGGATTTATTCTTCAGAGTAACGTAATTGACGCGGCCTTGACTGAATAAATTTTTAGCAATATTGTATGCTTCTGCTACAAGGTGATACTTTTTATCCAATTTCTGAAATGCATCTTCTGAGCACTGAATTAAGGAATTTTGATTAATACACAACTCTTAGTTTTTGTTTAAAGGACAGGACCTATCTAATTATGGTTAAAGTTTTAAGTACAAGAGCAAAGAAATCAATCAAGAAATCAAGAAATATTAAAGTTCACAATTAGACGATGAGCATGTCAACATTTTGGTCACATAGAATTTGCTCGTTACATTGGGTTAAAAAAATGTAAAAGGGAAAAGTATAAACATAAAACCATGTTTTAAACGTTTTCGGCTTTCTAAATCTTAATATAGATAAATTATAAAAGTCGGCATCCATTGAAAGTCGGCATAAAAGCACCAAGTTTAAGGAACCATGCAAATTCGGCATAAACGTAATAGATGTATGATCTTTCAGTAAAGTCGACATTTATAATTATAACAATTTACTTGTTAATCAACCAACTAGACATTAAGCCAACTAGTAAGGTCAAGATAGTCACTTTATACTTTTTTAAGACCTTTCAAAGTAAATGTTTGGGCTATCGTGTCATGTTATGACCGTTAGAGAATTGGCACTAATTGAATAAAATTCTATAACTAACGTAACGGATGATGTCCTGTTATCTGTAACTGACTCACCTCCAACGCTGATAAAACTACAAACAACAAGAATGTGCCATCACGTAATCCCCATCGGTACCCCATTTTGAGATATCTTTATTAGAAATGTAATGCAAAGTACACGTGCTCATACCATATTCAATCTATTTTTTTTTTTAATTCAATCTATGTTACTGAATATTAAATTATTCAAATATATAAAATTTTACTGAGATTTTACATCGTAGTTCGTTCGTTCCTTTGTTTTAATATCAGATTGACGGTTAGGTACTTGCTTATTGATTAATCGCATCACTGCATTTTAAAGCTAAAACGAAATTGTTAAAACAAATTTGATTTTTCAAATTAATTTTCTATTTTTGATTGTGTATTATTGTTAGCTTTAGTAAAGAATAGTGCATTGTTTTGATATTTAATAAACATATTCTAACCCTGTTCCTGAACGAATTTAATCAATCATCGTCCTCGTCAATTATCTTCCTGAGACCTGGACCTTTTCCTAATTTAATGGGGAGCCATCACTTTGGGAAATTTCACGAATCCTCTCATCCCTTATGTTTCATAATTCGTAAATTTGATAAGCCACTATTCCGTTACCACTAAAAATGGCTACATTGATGCTACTTTAATTTGTACTGAATGTGGGGACAAAGATACTCTACAAAACTAAAGGAATAAGCTTAATTCATATCTTTTATTTAAGAGATTTTGATGGTAACACATTTTTAATATTTTGTGTAATTATTTTTTTTTACTTTCTGTATAATTGCCATGTTATTATACATATAAACGTTTGCACATTATTTTTAAATTAATTTTTTTTAGCTTTCTATACATCTCATATAAATTTTAAGCAGCGGCGTGCACAGGATTATGACACTAGGTATGCGGCGGAGTAGTCGGTCACTTTTTCTTTTATAGATTTTTAGCACAAGTCTTAGATATACTACTATTCATGCACATCTTCAACGGGAACGCAGACAAAACAGCGATAGATCGTCGCGGCGGAAGAAATTCTAATAAGTAAAATAATAGGCTAAAATATTATAACTACTCACCATGCATCATGCTTCTTTGCTGCGGAATAGAAATTATTTAAATCTGAATATCCCGAATCAGTGCACACTGTACTAGAATTACTAAACAATATGCAAGGAAAACAATATAATTTAATCGTGTGTACACAACCACACAGCCAGTTATACGTTTCATAACTTTTAACATGAAACTTGCGAGTTACATTTCCTTTTTGCTGGTTTAATTGTTGTAACTCGGGTACACACCTACCTTTAGACACAATTTGAATCTTTTCACTGAATGGCAATTGTGAGAACTTGTTATTTTTAATTTTTAATAGACATACATTATCCACACATAACTCACAATCAAATAACATTTTTAAAAAATCAACGGAACTCAGTAATAAACTGTTAAATGTACACACTTTCAAATAATACTATAATTATACTGGCGGATAGAAATTAGTAAACAATGCTTATCACATGAAAAAATCAAAATGGCCCCCGCGAACAAGAAACATATCTGCTAATTAAACAAATAAAACCTTACCATATTCAAAATTCATAATCCGCATACATGGTTTATTATATTTCTGACTATTGTAATTGGGTGGATTTATAGGCAACGAACACTTCCGATTACACCCGAGTACTCACGACGACGATTAGCGCGGGACCCGAAGGGCCAACTGCAGTATCCTGCGGCTGTAGTCGGGCATATAAAATAAATGGGTGTGTGCGTATGCGAACTGTGCACGGACACCAAAATTACTACACACATGCGAACAACTGTCCTGCGCGAGGCGACGGCATGAGTTGCTTTGCGTTGCGCTTGCTTTTCGGTAAACACCTGGCAAACAATGTTAGTGTGGTGCTATTTTTAAATAGTAGGCGTTTTTAAGTTATTATATTTTGTTTTTTCATTTATTTACTATTAATTAAAGTCATCTAAAACGTACCAACGTTTTATTAAAATGTCTGTGAATAGCAAGTAAAGCACTGCATTTCTGCCTACAAGGAGCGCACGCCCCTTTTTTTTTTCCGTGTGGTAATCCCTCGGATACCACCGCCGGGCACTCTGCCAGCGTGTTGAGAGCCGTGTCCACGGTCTGGCCATCACAGTGGTGGCACTCAGGCGTTGGCTCCTTGCGGATCAGACACAGGTGATCCCCGAAACATCCTTTCCCGGTGATCACCTGCGTCAGTCAGTATGAGAGGGTCCCGTGACGCCTCTCGAGCCAATCCTCCATAACGGGTCTTACCGCCGCGATGACGGCGTGCCCGAGGAGCGCACGCCCCTGATTTTAAGTGTTCCAAAATCTTTATCTGTGTGCGAATTTGCATAAGAACGGATACAAATACTTTTCTTGAATATGCGATATGTGTAAACAAATTATTATTCAGATCCTTATTGACGACATGCTGTGAGAAGGAAAAAGGGAAAATTACAAACAGAAATTCAATGAAATATAAAATATATTTGCATTAAATTCGCTTAATATTACGATATCATATTGTCTATCAATAATAACAATTTGAGTTTCAGATATTGAATAATGTATAAGATAATGTAACCATAGACAATAAAAACAACACAGATTAGGCGCTAAAACGTAATTAAAAGAAGCTATTGCGCCTACCTACCTAAGGTAGGTGCAATAACTTTGCTACTATGCTTTTATAAGCTGTTTTTGTTTTTCGAATAATATATATAAAGAATGACAGTGTAACAGCCAAAGAATGATTTGTATAGTATAGTAATACGATTAATTAAAAATTCGTAGCTACTTATAAAATTAAATCATTTTACATTTAGGACTTTAGACACATCACAGTATTCTTGTAAGTCAAATATCTAACTAATAACAGATCGAAATGCAGTGTCACTAAAGTGAAGCTAATTGTCGCGGCACAGTTGAAACATAAGGTATCTTATGTTTCAACTGTGCCGCGACAATTAGCTTCAGCTATCCTGCATATTGAGTATTTAACAAGGAAAAATAGAAGCGTTGGCGATCATTTATTACAGGGATCCGGTTCAACCAGCCGCTAACTATTGACAGAAACTTTAAAATACCCAAAGTTTTGACGAATTGAGTAGTTCAAGAACGAAATATCAATATCCAATGAGACCTCACCTGGTGGTCGAAATTCTTAAATGTTTTCTATTATTTCATTTTCCAGTATAACTTGAACTGTAATTGTATACATTTGTACTATGACAAGATCAAAATACGTACTGGATCTTATATTTTATGTAGCCGTTTAAATATGGCTTTTAACTTAAATAGCACATATTGTTTAAAAATGTTAGCATTCTGCACTTCTTCTCAATATAATGATCAAGTATTCCAAATACGATAAGCTTTCGTGACAGCATGACGCAGTGACACTTAAATGCTAATAATGTTTATTTATTTTATTATATAGCATTTTAATTAATTTAACACCAAACAGCTACTAGAGTTATCCATATTATTCCAACCGTTTGTTGTAATGGGAATAATATTTTAACTTAACTGACAATCATTTTAAAAGATAGTCACCCGCCAACAAGTCAGATATTTAATGGCTGGCTTTATATTGCTTTTTAATATGTACGTAGTTATGTAAAATTAGTAGTTGTGACTTTGCAACATATAAAACACTTAAATGTTTCATACCTTCATATACACTAGATAATCAAAGCAATATAAAAAGTTTTACAATAACAAATTATAAATGAATATATGAATAATTTACATTTAGTAATATAATATTTATGTAAAATCTCGAGCTACGTGATACACAACATGCTTGAGCTGTATGTTACATCTGTAAAATGAAAAGACAAATCTATAATATTTAATAATCTGTCAAAAATACAGCAAGATAAAATAAATTGAGTTAAAAAGGGCCCTTACCAATTATTCAGATATTTAATCCTTGTGCAAGAACTTGTTAAAAGCTCCATATGACGTTTCCAGATCAAAGAGTAACTGTCGCACCTGGCTTTCAGACAGCTCATCTGATGCTGACATTTCTGATAGCCTATCTACCCATTCTTGGACCTGAAAACAAGGGGAAGAATACAACCTCGTGTTTTAAATACTTCGTGCATAGATGAGCGGGATGACGACGACGATGAGAACATGTAAATCAGAAATTATACAACTTTCTTATAACTTGTATTAAAAGCTTTAAAAGGGTCATTCAAACCATACAAGACAGACTGGTGGGACTATGATCAGTTAATAATTGTGATGTGTAGACACTTTTGCCTCGAACAACCAATCTGTGGACCAAGTTATCATCTGCGGTATTTCGGGATTGATACAACCTTTAAACCTTCGAGAAAAAGCATACTCCTTCTTAAAAAGCCAGCAACAGCTTGTAAATCCTGAGTTGCAGGCGTTTATGGGCGGCGGTGGTCTGTTTCTTCCAAAAAAAACCTTGCTTCGTCTTGTCTACTGAATTAAGACTTCTATCGCCCCAGCCATGTAGATGCTTAGAAGTTATGCTCCTTTCTTACATATTAGTCGTTAAGTGATAATGACTACTATTGGTTAGAGTTACCTTAAAAGCCTAGAAGAGATGTCATGCCATCACAAACTTTTAGTTTGAAGTTTGTGTGGTGGCATTACATCTCTTAACAAACCACCTCAATTGAAATTGCATAAGTTTTTGAATAGATATTCATACAATAATTTTTATGATATTATTAATTATCAGTACCTTGATCTTCCCCTCAAAGTCATCTGGCAGCATAGTAAGACGGTCCATGGTGTCAAGGAGGTCTCGCAGCTCTGGTTGGATCATATCCATGGCACGAAACTCTAATCTCAACTTGTCCATCAATGTGATGAATACCTGTAAGTGTCAGGAAAATGAGCTTTTAGCATTTATTTATTATGTGCAGCACATTTATTGGTGTTTACCTGGGTGTAATTCATCTATAAATACGTATGTACATATTTAGAAATATTTATCTTTAGTTTTTTCCTATTGATACAAAATATATACTTATAAATTTGAGAACTTTACTGTTAGTTAAGTGAATAAACTGAACTTGACATCATTTTCTTATCAAAATAACACATATTAGTCAGTCTTATTACAAGTTGGTACACGTAACAACCTATACAGTGTCTCGAAAGTTTCCAATAAAAACTTATGTTAATTAATAATGGATGATTCTTAGACCTCGTTGACCACCAATATCAGTATTCGTTTATGTCGACCACAGCGAACTCGATTTCGACCCCAGGGGGTCGATATTGACCACTTTGGGAATCTCTGCTCCACATAGTGGAAACAGCGAAACAAGGTATTTCCCTAATGATTCTCGTTGTTTATTTTATTAGCAGAAATAATTAAAAGAACAATAATTAATAAAGTAAAACTTACAGACACAATTTCAGCAATATACTTGTTGGTGTTCCCCTTGTCATCTTTGATCAGGTTAGGTTTGTTCTCCCTTATCCTTTCCAGGGCAGCTGGGCAGTCCAGCTACCATAAAAAAAGAGATTTTAAATAGCTTGTAAGATTATATCAAAGAAAACATGAAGTGTTAAAATGTGTTAAAAAAAGAGAAAATAAAAATCATTTTTCAGAGTTTCCAAACAAAAAACTGTAATTCAGATTCTTTTTGGACACAACATACCTGTACCAAATTCTGTAGAAGGGCACTACTCATACAGTTCCTCCAACTCTTCATCTCGCAACTGTCTTATTATAAAACTGAAGAGTTTGTCTGGTTGTTTGCTTGAATGCGCTTTGGAAAATTCTTTCGGTGTTAGATAGCCGATTAGTTGAGGAAGGCTATAGGCTATTTATCATCACGCTAAGGCCAATAATATAATAGCAGAGACCAATGAAGAATTTTGCAAAAACGGGGAAAATTTATTTTTTAAGACGTAGAAAAAGTTGCACGGGTCAGCTAGTAAATGATAATTTAATAGTAATGTATTACTAAGACTAGCAGATTACCAATTCAATTTTCAGTTACAATATGATATAATCACATTTGACTAATTTGATTATTATACATTGGATGTCTAATACTTATTATTAAAAAAACTTTTTATAACAGTAACTGAATTGTGACCAAACTTTTATTATGACAATATGCCTTCAGGACTAAAAAATAATCAGGCTTTCTTAAAATGCACATGTAAGGAACATCTATATTACTTTACTATGACGCCAGTCACAAGTGTTTAGAGTTTACTCACTCGATATTTAGCAACAAAGGCCTCAATGTTGGGGAACTCATCACCCTGTACTTGCTTGAACGCCACCCTGTATTGAACAAGCAGCCTACTGCAAGCAGCTGTGTACTCTTGGGCACGGACGCAGTCCCTCATGTACGCTTTCTCTAGATGTTGTAATGTGCTGACAACAGCATACAGCTCTGCCATATTATCATGCCTATGAAATATAAAATTAAACAAAGTTAATTGTACAGGATTTTATTACATTATTAACATTTACATTAGTCACATTTTACATGGATTTTAATTATAAAAAACATTTCTATCATCATCATCAACAGTCTTTAATAGCCCACTGCTGGACTTGGGCCTCTCTTCTCCTTATAAAAAATAAAAAACATTTCTATCAAACTAAAATACAATACTTACTTTTCCCGTTCTCTAGCATTTCTGTATAGCTTGATTTCTTCATACAATTCAGGTCTTGAGTCTGTTAACATGAAATTGAGATTGAAAAGTTTACAATGATGAAAACAAAGACATGGATTGGACTTTAGCAATTAGACTAATACCTGACATATTTCTAGGAAACTCCTGTACAAATGCCTGGGTTTACTGTGTATAATTATTGAACTAATACGTGATAAACACAGAGATTTTCACTGATATCCTAAAACTGGTAAGTATAAATCGATAAAACCCAAAATGATGACAAATCCCATCCACAATCTTATCAATTTGACGTTTGTTTGACACATTTGACATTTCATCGCTGAATGAACTATTGAACTGAACGACTGTGGGTAGAGGTGACTGTTACTTTTTAGTTCATATCACCACAGAATACATAATATTCTACCTAGGGAGCTGGTTCGGATACATTCAGCAAATGTAGTCATCGAAATGTCAAAATAACCGTTACTTGGAATAAAAACCGGTTTCTGAAGCTTGCTCATGTCTAAAAAAAAATAACTGACAAAATGACGTAATCTTCCAATATGGCGGATGACGCGCGCGCTCCCTGCCGCCCGCGCTCGTAGTTTCTTCACCAACTGCCACTCGTCTCGAATGATTTCACCTTGCGATGAATGAAAATTGTTGTAGACACTCCGAGTACGAATTATTCACATAATAAACTCTTAGTCGGACACAAAAGGTGTATTGTGATACAGTGCGTCTAAAGGTGGATTCGTGGTTGTGTTATTACCAGTTCTTCCTTTTGTGAGACCGTTGTGTTTACGTGCTGAAAAATCGTCTTGTGAAAATCTACAGGTCTCCGGAGTCGCCGGTGCAGTGTTTAATGGGATCTTGTTGATCAACAGGTAATATTTGTGCAGTTTTTACTGAAAACCAGCTTACGGTTTAGAAACAACATAGAAAAGTAGATACAGCCTGTTTTTAAGTTTCCTGTCCCTTTTCGATGTTGTTAGGTTAATCTGTTGTGCTAGAGGGTTGCAAGAAAAGCCTTGAATAATTTTGTATATTGTTTAGATGGTTTTGTTGTGTAACAATATGTTTTTTTCTTATTGGAATGCAATGCGAAGAGCGGGTGGGGCTCTGCTAGGGCGCGGCGCCGGTCGTCCCACTTTTGCCGAGTAACTAAGACGCAACTGTTTACAAATTTGAAACGTTTTACGTTTCAGAAGAAAATAAGATATTGTATTTAAAACTTTAACATATGTTTGAAAGTATTGATGAATGTTTCTTTTAAAGCAAAAAAATTAGTTTAAACTTGTGAAAAGTTGCACCATATTCTGTTGAGAGACATACCTTGCATACCTAAGTAGTTTTTTAATAGGGAAAAATCTGTGACTTAGTTTATCCTTATAATAGGGTATTACTAAATATTTTCTAATCAGATTCTTATGGTGCAGGAAATTTTACACAACGTTAAGTACATTATTTTTATATTTACTGAATTTGTTAAAAATTAATAAGACAATACATGTATAGGAAAACAAAACAGTTCTGTAATATATTTAATAGTGGCGATACGTCAAAATATAATTAATTTACATTTAGTTATGGAAGTGTGTCCTAACACATGCATTGTTTGCTTAAAAGGAGGCTCCAAAGTGACAATTTTTTTAAAATATATCTCACAAGGCCGTCTGATCCCAAACTAGGCAGAGCCTGTAGAATGTAACCGCTGATATGATATGGATGGATATTATAGATAAATTACACCCAGACACAGAATAACTGACCGTGCTCATCACACAATATTTGTCCTGGGTGGGAATTGAACCCACAACCTCTGGTTTAGCAGTCAGGGTCACTAACCACTAGACCAACACGCCCGTCTTTGATACCTTTTATCAAGAAACAAACACTGCTTATGCCTTGTAAGAATTAATAATCAGTTACTGAATTATTTTGGGTAGCAACAGAATTTATCTGAAAAGCAATGTAATGTTATATACTGTAATCTTTGGTGGTGGTGCTGGAGCAACGATGAAAATAGGTGATGGAGTAAAGAAAAAATAAGTAAATGTCTATCACATATTCTACTGAGTTTATTTCAAATCAACCCACTCTCAATAGTGAGGGCATTCAGTGTTGTGATTGGTGCAGATTTCAGTGTGTGCCAATCACAGCACCGAACGCAGTCACCGTGACAAGCAAGTTGATGTGAATGTGTGATAAACTTGCACTAGGCCTGCTGATATAGAACAGTGAATAAAATTGCATAATATACATGTAGATATGCTGGCTTACTGATGGAAATAAAATTATTTGATAAGATTAAAAATAAATACTTAAAAAAACATTTACATACTTAATAAAACACAGTGTACAAATTTACGTTCATATTTACAATATCATCGTCCTCTTTCTGCTCTATGGCTAATTTTATTATGTGTTGACAATATGTGTAACGTTGCAAAGGGCGTTTTATGTCCCGCCACCTGTCCGATGCCAACTGTCCTTCGTAATATATTCATTTCCAGGAAAAGAATATATGTGTTAAGTGACCAGGACCTTAATTCTGCTATTTTATGTTAACACCAAGCCACTGTCATTCCATTGACACGCTTTTGAGATGCCACTGAGACGCCATTGAGATTGGTCAAAATATCAGTATTCTACTAACATAAAATTGACAGTGTCAATAGACTGTCAATAAAGGTCATCAATAGTGATATCCACAATATTGCCATACTTAGAAAATTAAATAAATCATTTTCTTACAAATTTAAATTGTACTGTTACCAAACTATTACAAAAACATTGATGACATTTGTGTCAGTGGCAGTTCAGTGACAAGTCATCGGGAGACCATCAGTCTTATATAGTTAGTAGAATAGGAAAAGTGCAAAACTATTCCGATGACATTCTATTGACAGTATTGATACAATATCAGAATTGAGGCCTGTAGCTTTTAAGTCATGTAATCACTTGATTCTACATACCATCAATAATTGTGTATATTATTAAATATGCATTTATAATTTTACAATAGAAATAAACTAAATTTCTTAACAAATAATTTCACATGATTATTTGTTTATGGTGTGATTAACATTCCATTTATTCACCACATAACTTTAGCATTACATGTATATATCCAGGCAATTTTACTATTTTTGTTATTTATAAATACTTTACATATTATTGTACTCAGTTTGTGTAGAATTTGAGGATAACTTATAAATTTATATTGCTGTTGATGTTATTGTTTTGTTTTGTCATTTTTATGCACTATTAGGTAATAATTTAAAGATAGCATTGTTTCAAGGTCATTTGTCTTATTACCTTAATTTTAAATCCTCCTTGTGGTTTAGTCAAAATTGGTATACTTTCTTTCCAATCACTGGGAGAATAAATAACCCCTCATAGATTCAGAATACTACGTATATTTATTGCAAATCAAAATTCAGTATATTTACTGGAGCCCAAATCTCCCCCCCCCTGACTCGAGCGGGAGGGACTCCAAGGGCGGCAACGCATTTGTGACTTTTGAGTTGCAGGTGTCCATGGGCGGCGGTAGTTGCTTACCATCAGGTGACCCGTCTGCTCGTTTACACCCTTGTGGCATAAAAAATAAAAATGTGTTTGGTTCACTATCTCTTTAAAGAATATCGGCTCCACCCACGTGTATGCAATTTATTCCTTCCTCAAGAATCAGTCTCTCTGATTGATTCATTTTCCATACAATCTTCCACCCCTTTCGCCCCTTTAAAGAGTGATTTTTGGGATAAAAAACATCATATGTCCTATCCCGGGATTCCACTATCTCTATACCAAATTTCATATAAATTGGTTCAGTGGTAAGCATGAAGAGGTAACTGACAGACAGACAGACACACTTTCACATTTATAATATTAGTATATAAATATTATAATAATAAAGCCCTTTTCTTCCGAATTTGCTACAGATTTGACAATACATATTGCCGAGTTCTATTTGTTATATTATGTCTCGCAATTCGGTGCGCTTCTTGGCATAGGCCTCCTCCAGCTCTCTCCACTGAGCTCTATCCTCTGCTACTCTAGTCCAATAAGGTCCCAAGGTTAGGCGGATATCATCTTTCCATCTAGTTTTCAGACGTCCCTTTCTTCTACAACCCCTCTCTTGGGTACCATAAGGTGACTTGTTTGCTCCATTTATTTATTTTGGAACGTAGCATATGTCCTGTCCAACCCCATTTTAAATGATCTATGCGAGTTATTATATGTACAACTTTAGTTTTTCTTCTTATTTCAGAATTTCTAATTTTATCACTAAGTCTGAGTCCCAACATGCTCCTTTCCATTGCCCTTTGTGTACTAGCCAGATTTTCTTTTTGCTTGTCTGTTATTACAAGAAAAAAATCATGATATCAAACTCTAGCACCCCATTATAACTTACACATATACTTCACTTATCTGTAATACATTAAAATATGCTGTACGTCCTCAGACATCCAAATTATAAAACATTACTAAATTGGTTTAATGAACTCATAGATAAACATCTATGACTATGACTGCACAGATGGCGTAGTGGTTTAAACGGTCGCCACGCCGCTTCCTACTACGCTGAGTGTTGTGGGTTCGATCCCCACACGGAACGACACTTTGCGTGATCCACAAATTGTCTGAGTCTGGGTATTCTTTGTATCTGTTTCATGTATGTTTGTAAATGCCCCCGCGACACAGGATTTCTTCCTAGTGCAGGAGCTGTCTTTAAAACAAATAAAAACTAAAGTTCTCACATGCAACAAGTCAGTATGAGGGCATTAATATTGTTAGCACATTGTTAATGGTGTTAATTGTTTCATTACTTGCCCATATTTATCACTAGTTTGCACTAAATAATGTGTTTATTGAGACTGCAAAAATTTTACACACACATTAATTCCTTACACGTTTTCGTTTTTTGTTGTAAGATAGTTATATACACTGTATCCAAAGCAGGATGGTTTTAATTCTATTCATTTACTATCACACACTATTATATTTAATACTAGCTGGTATCCGCAACCGTGGAATTTGAAAAGCGTTGCCTTAGTGGGTTCGATGCCAGACCGGGCAAAATTTTAAAGGTTTCTTCTGAGATGAAAAATAGCCTAAGTTATTTCTTATGTAAACACCTA